TAGGAGAGGACACAATGACATTCTCGATTCTCTTCTTGACCAAGGCCAACTGCCGACATAAGAGAATTACCTGATCTTCATTTTTGTGCCAGCATGAACATTTTTTGGTTATTTCAGGTTTTCTTTATCATATGTGACAAAGGATCTAAATCATACTCACTTAGGGAAGGCAGAAAAGTAGGAAGAAACGACACATTTGTTGTAAAAATTGCAACTCAAATTTGAGCTCCAGGGAAACAGTTTAGCAGTCAAAGAAGATAATTTTAAATCCAGATAAAATGATTAATTCCAACTACTCTTGCTTTTCACAACTGCTCGTATATGTAGAGTATAAGGATAAAATTTAATAATGTTTCTCTTACAAAAAAAGACTTGTTTATTATTTTCTTTCTCTCACCGTATTACCCTTCTCACACAAAAATCAGAGCTTTGTCACCAATGTTAGCTTTCTCAAATTTATTCATGGGCATTTATAATAATTTGAATGTGTATTTTTTCAGCTTGAATATAACTGCTTGTGACAGGAATTTTTTTTTTTTTTTTTTTCCTGAAAAGTGTATACCTGAATCTAAACTAATTCTGATGTCAGTCTGTACAGTTGTCAGAAAATAAATACAATTAACTTTCAGGGTCCATTAAGAGTTTGCTAGGTCTTTGGGCACTCCAGTGCTACCAAATGTGATATTTTTACCTATTTATCCAAATGTCAATGATTAGTTGGAAATTCACTCATGATATGTGTTCGTTGCACCGTTTTCCTGCCGAAAACTGTTAGAATCTAATTAAGACAAAACAAATATTTGTATTAAGACAGTTACTGATAAAATTTCTATAATTCTGAAAGCCACATTTAAATGTCCCTTTTTAAATTATATGTTTTTAAATTTGTAAGTGCAAACTTATTTAAATAAAGAACTTTTCAGTTTAGTTTAACAAATACTACTTGATTATTTACATAAAATTCAATTTTACAATATAGCATTTGATTTGGACAAGTTTAATGTTTTCTGGATTTGAGAAAGTATTTTTAGTAGGGCTCCGTGTACACAGTTGATACTCTAAAATCAATTTTTCTTGGCTATATCATGTAGTCAACACGTATTTCACAACTGCACAATTTGAACTCAAATAGGTTCAAAATCAATGGTAATTTTGTCACTCAATACTAATATCAGTAGGGTCTCAAAAACCAGGTACAAATATTTACATTTCTTCCTATTGCTGAAGACCACATTTAGATACCAAGAATCTATGTTCATTAATGATATCTCAGGTGCATCTATGTAAATTGTTACCTTAAATGACAGGTCTTTTCATGCAGTTTTATGAGCTCAGAGAGGGTTCTTTCTCTACATTTGGTTTATAATCCCCAAAGATTCTCAAGGTGCAAATTCTATTCATTTCTTTACTTTCAATTTCAGTTTAAGGAGCAAATAAATTATTATTTCCTTGACATAAAATGTTTGCTTAATTTTGATAGGTTTAAAACCTTTTATTTTTATTCAGTTGATAAATTATTTAGCTCTAAAAGTGATTCCTACACAGTAAGATTTGGCTTCACATATAATGATAGTATATCTAATCACTACTGTTTTCCACAGAAAAAAAAATGTGTAAATTCTGGATTAAAAAATGGTTTTACTTAGAATAATTTTATACATTTTTTTTTTTTTTTACGTTTATCTCAGCCTCTTGCATAAAAGTATCACAAATTTAAAAGACAGGGATTACTTGGAAAAAAACAGAGAGAGACTTCTTTCTCAATGCTAAGACTTTTTTCATTATTTGTTTTTTGTGTATTTCCTTCCTTCCTTCCTTCCTTCCTTCCTTCCTTCCTTCCTTCCTTCCTTCCTTCCTGCCCTCCCTCCCGCCTGCCTGCCTTCCTTCCTTCCTTCCTTCCTTCCTTCCTTCCTTCCTTCCTTCCT